GGTCATACTACATTACGGTAAGGCTCCTACCCCAGAGGTAATACTATTGCCTCTGGAGTAGGAGCACTGCCGATACACCGGCATATCAGTGGCTATTCGAGATACTCGTATAAGTACTCCAACTACCCCACCACGTTCCTGCTTTTACGACAATCTCCTCACAAGCTTGCCGGAAACGCTGCAACAGACTAACAAATACAAAAAGATTTATGACAGGGAGATCCAGGTCGAGCAATACACCCCCACACTTCTCCTACGCTGGTTTCCAGCTCTTCTATCAGAGAGAGCCCCGGGCTCTGAGCCCGCAGGATCGTACACCAGGGCCAAGTTCAATAGAGTGCCAACACGGGATAATGTAACAGCAACATCAAGATGTTCTTGATGTTGCTGTCAGTTTTAGAGATATCGCTAACAGAATAGCACCATAATCCAGTTTGAACTGCAGCCCATTTTCATATGCCTCGCCAAGATAATGAAAGACGCGAAATCAACATCTCCATCATTATCTCCAATAGCCGACTCTAGCCCATCACCAAAGACCTGTCACCATCAGTGTCACCACACATGAACAGTCCAGCCTGACCAAAGACGTAGCCCTACCTCTCTCGAGAAGTCATCCCGGTCCGCTCCTTCTGTGCACTCATGCTCATTCTCAGTGACATCGGCGAATGATCTACACACAACCTCATCAATCATCGTTGCGAAGGTCAAAATTGAAAACAGCCTTGCCGCCCAAGCTACGCTATGATATCTTTCAGTGCAAGCCTGAGCTCAGCGAGGCTAACACGACCAGTCACTGGTCACCAGTGTGCTCATGATCACAGTCCTCGAAAGCCTCTCGGTACTTTACTATCTCAGCCTCCGAGAACGGCAGCAGGGGACAGACCTGAGCAACATCATAACTGTTTTAAACCGCGTTGTTGAGTCGAACCTCACTGAGGCGATGTTGTTCTCTCGTCAATCGCGGCGATTGAATCGCCACACCTCCGCCTTGAACAGATCGTAACGAACAACTCTGGCGCTGTTGGTATCGGCGCACAGCTTCTCAAGGATAGCCACAAATCGAGCTCTCGATAACGCTGGCCCGCCAGGTGGGAAGCCAAGCTTCGTGAACGCCTATCGTGAGAGACAAATTGCCTCTAGGAAAATCTCGTTTTCATGTGGACTTCCTCCGGCTCGATCATATCCTTCCTAACATCAACTGACCGGGACAGAATAGAGGGAGGGATAGACTCACAACTCTAGTCGCTGTCGGTGGGAATTCTCGTTCACCGTTGAGGCAGGGAAGAGGCCAACAGCGCTAGCTCCTGTCAACCTCATCGTAGGATTGTCGCTGACTGGTGACAGTATATTCGCATATCCCAATGATGCAAAGGAGGATATATCTCCACCGGATTTTGGCGATGGACCTGAACCGGCAACTACTGGGCCGCCTCTAAATGTCGTTCCACCTCCCAAGACCGAGGCGAACAGTTTGAGGACCTCAACCAGCTCCTCCAGCGCCAGATGTAGTGGGGACATTCCGGGCAGCAGGAAATGGAATGAGGCAGGGCAAGGTGTAAGCCGCTCTAGATTCCGACCAGACCGTCGCAATGCATTTGATGAGTTCGTCCGGGGCCGGCTCCGATCGAAGCAATGCATTGATGAGTAACGCGTGACGGTCGGTTTGTCCAATTTGCTCTCGGTGATGGAATTCTTTCAGACCGTGAATACAGCTTATGACAGCACATGATATCCG